TCTCTCACTAAGAGGGATGGCATTCCACTCTAAAGAAAGAAGATTTATGTCCATACACTCAAGCATCAATATATATATAAAATGAAGATTTTAGCCCAGTATAATCACCTTTGAATATCCCCTGAAATATGGGTGGAAAATAAGTATTTGACACATTGAATGACTTGTTAAAAATGAAACCTGATTACAAATCAGGTAAAGTAAGAAAAAATACTTCCCAATATACTCCAAGAATTGATAAATCAAAATTGCATTAGCAGAACGAAATATTAAAAGGATCTCAAGAGAGATGGTTGTAGGTATGGCCACTAAAAGGTAGTATTAAACTAAAAATCTTGAATAATTTTAATTCAGAAGAAACAACCTCATCAACAGATACAGAGACACCTGTGAAAGACTGGCTGCTTCGCCTCCAGCATGGAATGCTCCAAAATAAATCCCTGCAAGCTGCTTCCCATATGACCAACAAATTCCTATTGCTGTTGTAATTTTGTTAGAGAGATGCCTAGTAAAGAAATATGTTAGAAAAATGATAGGAAAAAGAATTTTTTTGGTAGCTATGCCCTATACATTATTTTTTTTAAAAAATAGTAAGTATGCAAATAAATTCTACTCCTGCCAGTTGTTATAAACATGTTGACCCACAGGTGACTTTGTTGTTCCTTCTGTTGGAAAACCCACCCTGCCTGGATTGTAGCTGTGAAGGATCTGAAGAGAAAGTTTCCAATCTTTATTTCTCCTTGAAATCTCTCCACAATACAGGGCCCAGTTGCACTGGTTGAATGCCTGAGAATTAACAGTACTTTTAATTACTGGAGATACAATCTCCATTGGAGCATTCATTTCATTTCCCAATCATTTTTCTTCCTTTCATTATCAAAGTCTTCCTTCCCACTGGACTGTTTATGTTTTAATTCGTGCAGACTTTACCAATATACTGACTCCAATACTGTCCTAATTCAATTAAATTTACTTGCACAGGTTTGAACAGCAACCCATGTTGACCTCAAAAATGCTCCTCTTCTCGTTTCCAGTATCCTTCACTCTCTGGTAAGAAGTGATTTTCCCCAGGCCCTACTGCTTCTTCAGATTCAGCCCCTGTGCAACAAGTCCTCCAATACATATCCCAATTAATATTTCAACTTTAATAAAGTTACACTCCGAATCCGAAGTGGCCCACACTTTTTAGTCCATAGATGTTATTTAGGTCACTTCAAATAAATAATTGCAGCTCCTGACCACACCAGCAAGAAAGGACTTGGATGTTCAAGGTAGGATTTTTCCCCCCACAGCCATCATTCCCGATTTTCTTCATAATTGAAACCCAACTCAAAAATGTCTTTCCAAAATGGTCAAAGAACTGAAGCTGAAAGTAAGGCTCACCTATGACTTTCCCTTTCATAGCACATAAATTCAGCCTTGAGCAATCCCAAGAAAGTGCCTGTACTTTCCTTCCTACAGAGAAAATTGCTCTCACTTTTTGCACCTTGATTTTACTCTTTCATAAATGAGATTATTCTAACATTTTAAATTATTGAATTTTAAGGTAAAATCCATATGCTTCTATATCCCTATATAGCCACTTCTCTTATTATGGGTGTATCAAATATTCTTATTATTCCTTATTTACATTTCTTATATTTCCTTCTTTCCTACTGCAGGTCGTCTTCCAGGGTGGAATCTTTCCTGCATAGGATTCTCACGTGCAATACCTGGTTGAAGAAAGCTCTGAACTCAGTTTTATTTCAAAAGAAAAATAACTATCTGTGATTTTATGTATTAGTAATATCTCTCCTGATTTTATTCCAAAATAACATCATGGTTGAATCAATTAACAAAGACATAATATTAGTCTGTGTTTCTCATGGTTTTTTGGGAAAAGTGGGTATAAAATCATTGCGAGGGCAGATGTGTAATAGTTTGCATTTAATAATTTGCATTTGGAGTCTGGCTAATAGGTGGTTTGGGACAGGGAATAAAAAACACAGGAGGTGCCTCCTTTATTTTTTGTTTTCTCTTGCCCTTAGAGCCCTCCCCGTGGGTCAGCACTTGGTTCTGTGTGTGCTCTACAGGGGTTTGCATCCCTGTGACAGAGGAGCAGCCTTGCTCCCTGAGGTGTAACCCCACCAAATCCCCACTCCCAAAAACCATGGATCCTCAGGAAAGGCAGGTGGAAAACATGGCACAGCAACATGCACAGAATTCCTGATCATCACCCAACCTGAGCCTGCCTGGGAGATTCCTCCAGAGCATTGGAGCTGCTCCTGCTCCAAGCCTTGCACAACCCAGCTCACTGAGATCCTGCTGACAACTTCTGGGAGAAATAGGTCATGAACCCTGGGCACTGCCAGCTGCCAACCAGGAATCGATGGAGAAATCCATGCTCGGAAAAAAATAAAATAAACAATGCTCATCGACGTGGCCCCAGTGAGGGGGGACAGGCAGAGCTCAGAGCAGGGCTGGGGGGATGTGGATATGAACAGGAACAGGGCTATCTATGATCCAGAATGGGAGAAAACCCAGTGGATGCTCTGCCAGCAGGGCACTGGGAGCTCAGGCCATGCTGAACAGGCAGAGGGACAGAGCAAACCCTGCTCCTGCTGGTACCAGCTCTCCACAGGTGGGATTTTGGACCACGTTGTTGGAATTGCTCTTTCCCCTCTTTTTTTTTTTTTAATAAGAAGCTTTGAAAAAAAAATTTAAAGTATATATATTTATGAATCTACAAATACTCTGCATTCTGCCATTCACTGCATTCTGTCCATACACACAGTGCACTAAAGGATTGACTCCTGACTGACTGGGGCTCTGTTTTAGCTGCTCATAAACTGCATTAGTACAACGTGCCTCAGGGAATCAGGGGTAAAATGACCTGCTCCTTAAGACCACCTGATTCTAATAATTTCTTGTATGTTAATTTCTGTTTAGTGGCATAAACAAAAACCAGATACTGCTATATCCCCTTTAAAAAGTACTTTTAAAATAAGGTATTTCCTCTGTTTTTTTTCAGACTAGCTAATCTAAAAATCTATAACAGTGAAGACCTCCAGTTCACAATTCTCACTGGTCACCAGCAGTCAGATATCAGTATAATAATATATTAATGTTTCAAGACTTAGCACAGAATAGGAATACAATTGTGATATTTTAGAAGTGTATTTCAATTATTAAAGGTAGCATCAGATCTTCTACCATTCCATAATTGCCATACTTTGGAAGGATTGAAGAGAAATTCTTAATAATGCTTTTTGGTTAGATGGATTCAAATTCTTCTAAATTATTATAGTTTTAAAATAGCTATTATACTTAGTCTGATTAAACTTTTCCTTGTGATCCTGCAAGAACTGAAGGATGTGCTGTGCATGGCAGCAAGGCAGAAATGTCAGAAGCAAGAGAATAACTCAAGAGCAGAGCCCCAGGCTCCAGACTCACTCAGCAGAAAGCACACAGAACAGGCAGGGAGAGAAAAATTTAGAAGCAGGAGAAAAAAAGAAAAAGGCATTTTAGAGCAGAGTGAGAAAGGAAGGGTAAGGGCTTAAAGGCAGGAGGCTGAATAAATGATACCAGGAGCTGGAAAATCCCCCTCCTGCTTCAAAAGAAAGAGGAAGGTCACAGACAGCACAGTAAGAGCTGCACTATTGACCAGCAGCGAGAGGTACATTTTCTTTGCTTAAAAGAGAAAAAAATTCTCATAAAAAAGCTCAGCAAGGGTCCTCCCAAAGGGCACAGTGACTGAAGGGGGGCTTTGTCCAGGGGAAACTTCCTGGCTCTGCTGTTCCTGCCCGCTGTCAGGGCACGGTGACACTGCTCTTTAGGTGACATAATGTGACACTGGGGGTGTTGTGGCTCTTTTCGTGTGGGACACAATGTCTCAGAGGGAGAACTCTGGAGCTGGAGTTCAGATGTTCCCGAAGCACAGCCCAGCCACAGGTACAGCTGCAGCAAGGCCAAAGCATCCCCTACCTTGACAGATGTGTTCTGTGCTTTGTAAGGACAGATCTCGAGCTACACTGAGTGTGTTTTGTCATTCAAGAAGAAGACTAATAAGAGGTACTTCAAACTGGGTAGTTGGTTTTTTTTCCCTCAGATCAAGTGCATTTTACCCCATTTGTTTTCCGTCTTACTTTTAAGTGCCAATTTCCCTCTTGGAGGCAATTTATCTTATCAAAATCCCACAGGATAACTTAGTTATGCAAAAGCAGAATTCCTGATAAAGAAATAAAATACTGGGACTGTCATATACAATTTACCCACATAATTTTACTCTTGACTTTTACTATATTTTTTCACCCATTCACCTACACAAACACAAGAGAGTTATTTTTTCTTTAGAGTTAATACATTACATGTTATTAGCTGGCAGGAACTAAACAGCAGAGGAAAAAAGATTTCTTTGATATCAAATACTTTGTTAGGAGGCTAACTGAATTAATAAGCTAATGATTAATAATATGAAAAAACAGTGTTCTTCCAAATGCTTGCAGGTTGCTAAAAAAAACCAAACCCCACTTTTAATTGACACACATGTCTGTAGTTTAGATAAAGTCAATTTTACCACTCCAGTCTTGTCTTAAAGTTCATTTTAAACAATCTTCCAGTCTAATTAGCATTACCTCCTGGCTCTGTAGTACCATCCTTTTGAAGGCTGGCATGGTTAAAGCACTCAGGTCTGCTTGGTTCAGTATAGTGTGGCAAATGTCCGTGAAATACCAGGGCATATGGCATATAATTACAGGACCATATGGATGCCAGTAGTGATAGTCAACAGCATTTGAATGCAGAAGCAAGAAATTCAGAGGAAAAAGCAATAAAAGACTATAACACACAACCATAAAATCATTAAATTATAGTTCCTCTACAGCTGAGAGAAGCCAGGACATGCCTGTCCTTCAATGAAGCAAAGCCACTGTAGCTGGAGAGAACATACTACATTACTTTTATGTAGTTTGGAGATTTATAAAGCCAGATGATTAAGGTGAGTGATGCAAGAAATCACTTACCAAAGCACAGAGCAGATCAACTGCTTCCAGGATCAGCTCCTGGTGGCCGATGCGAGTGACTCCCAGCTCCTCCAGCTCCTGGTGAGTGATGTGCAGCAGCTGCTCCCCATTGATCTTCTCCCTTTCAAAATTTTTGATGTATTGTTGGAGGCAATCATCCAGGCCTGTTTGGAAAAGCCAACAATGCATATTCAGAGAGCAGAGAAAAGAAAAAAAAAAACAAACCCGTTGTGTAATTCACAAGCAGAGAAATTTCTTGGAAATACGAGTGTACTTCCTTGTTTGGAGCTATTATGGAAAATGTGCAAAAAAATTGGTAATTTAACTTATATAATACAGCACATGCTGCTAAAGAGGAAAGTTTATATTACTGATGTTATTTACAACGTTTTTAAACATTTTAGTACTGATTTTACACCTTCATGGTACTTAATAAGGAGACCAGGGAAGGACAAAACAGCACAGGGAGTGACGTTATAGAAAAGCTTTTTCTCCTCATACCACAAAAAACTAAATATAAGTTTATTTTATGATTAGGAACATATTTTTCCTGGTACTGCTCTTCCAGGACTCTTCAAAGTCAGATAGTGTGGCTATCACTGATTGGAAAGAGTGTTTTTAGGCTCAGTTACCACCTGCACTAACCCTGCTACGCCCACTGCCAATTCTCCCCCCAAAGTCAAATTTTCCAGTTTTCTGAATCTCAATAACACACAAATCGTTTTGTTCCCACACCTTCAATTAATGATCCAACTTTGCCCATACACAAAGAATTGTTCTGTTTCTCCCTGAGACTTGATCATGTGGAAAAACCGGATTATTCTGTTTCTCAGGCTGGAGAATGGGCTGATGAACAACATCAGCTGAAACACTTCTCATTCCTCCAAACCTGTTTCCAAACCACACACACTCTGAGCTTCCAGAACAATTAGTTGAACACAAGGCTCTAGCACTAAAAGCACTAAAAGCTACATGAGGTTACTCAGAGTTCCCTCAAGGACTCTGTCACATCAACCATAGCCTGATATGCACACGGTTTTCTGGAGACCTACAAAATTCACCTTCAATAACTTCAGCTACTAAGCAGAGTGAGTAATACACTTTGATCCACAGATATTTGATGCAAGTAAACCCAAGATCCATAGAACTACAGATATCCAGAAAGCACAGAAATAACCAACTTGGGCACTTCAGGAAGACAGAGCTTTGAAATATAATTTCTGCACACAGCAAGTTACCAGTGGGGCTCAATTAGGGAGAAAATGTGCAGCCAAGCTCTAAAAGACCACGATGTATCTAAAGAAAAGGAAAGCAACAGGCATATGAACAGTATTGTTCTCATTTGTCTGTTAAAAGTTCTCACAAATGCAATATAAACAGAAATAAAGGAAAAGTTGATGTCGTCTTCATTTCCTGGATTGTTAATCTAAAGAAGCAGATAATTCTGTCATGTGCCTCAGTGTCTTTTTAAAGAGAATTTTGTAGTTGTTTTAACATTTTTTTGAGTCACAAAGGTCCTTTTACTTAACCAGATGGTACAGTTTGGCAATGATGAACAGAATTACATTCCTCTAAATTAGCACAGGAATGCTAAATGAGTTAAACAAGACAGTGTAGGAATTTCACCAAAGACAGATTAGAAAATTACATTACTATCTATTACTCCATTTCTAAACACACCTTCTTAGATAATATGAAGTGATTAAGTCCAATCTATTAAAACTGGTTAATTTAATTGTCATAGAAAGCATCAACACATTACTCACATGGAAGACCTTGGCCTGACTGAATGCTGGGATTAGTGCCCAGAGATGAATTTCTAAATGTTTTATGAGAAGTCATCAGAATAACCAAACCAGCTTGTGGACATTCAAGTCAGAAAATGTGAACTATATGAAATTTAAAACTATCCTGTAGGCAAAAATAGTTGATATTGGCCACGTTCTTCAGCATATCAGAGAAAGAGAGATCTGACACCTTGTATTTGGCATGTTGGGTGTCAGCACTGCGAGTCTGAATTAACACAACATAATTGAGTTGAGACACAAGAATTGAATAAAACAAAACAGTGTGTGTTTGTCTTCTGTTCATAAATACAAGGGGATACATTTCAGTTTCATTTAATTAACTTCTCTTTCAGCGTGATCCAATTATTTACTCTGTAAAGTGATAGTCCTAAGTTATGGTATAGGTAGAGCTCATTTATTATTTACCAAGTCATGTTCACAGCTTTATAGGTACTTATATCCCATGCAAAACTAGATCAGTGTTAAATTCATAAGTATGAGGTAGTTTGGGGATTTTTTTGGGGTGTGTGTGTTTTTTAAAGCTCAGCTCAGCAGTCTGTTTGCAACTAATACCTAAAACTTTTCTCTGCTCTGGAGTGGTTTGCAAGTAGAACCCTATTTCTCTGTATCTGCTCATTATTTCAAATAATCTCATGAATGATTTTACATAAGTGTATTTCAGTTTGGATTGGTTGAAGGCTCTTCACTGAAAATTCTGCAAATAATATTTCACATTTAAATTCCAAGCCATTACACATTTCTCTTCCCTGCCTGCCCAAGAATAACTCTTAGAGCAAAAATTCCAAACCCTACATGTTCCAAATTTGCTTTTAGTGAACATTTCCCTAAAGCTCAGAAGAAGTCACTGAGCCTGCTACTAAACAATAAATTGTTTTGAAGCAAAGCAAATTAATTAAAAAATTTAGAATCAGTGGCCACAAATAAGCATTTGTAGTGTTAAGAGAGATTTAGAAAAACCCAAATGAATGTGGCGTGCTATGAAAACTGCACAGTGAGAAGTATTAAACCTGCCCTTGTGCCAGAGAGGATGTCTGACAGCAGAGCAAAATATGAAATTTGTATTATTGGTCCTGCTCTGTAATAGCTCCCCAGGGCACTTTTAGAAGGCTTTACTTACTGGTGCAAACAGTGAGGCAGCTGACACCAGGATCCAGGGATGTGTCATTAAAGGGCCAGGCTGGCTCAGGGCCTGACAGCACCTCATAAACATCCACAAAGAGAGATATTTGTCCATCTCTTTTTTCTGTCTCTCTGGGAGCCAGGTACTGCAGTGGGAGATGTTACCCAGCAAAATATCAGCCTTCAGGAGCTTTGCTCTTCATTGTCACGGCTCTAATTGTTTTTAGCAGGAAAATATCGAGGATGCAATTAGGAGCGTACAGGATGAGTTCGTGTCGACTCACCAAACCCAAATGAAATATTTATTTCCTCAAGCCACTCAGGCCTCATTAGTGCTCTTTATGCAATTCCTGATATGATTTCTGTTTACAGATAAGTCTAAAAGTAGTTAAGATTCACAACTACAAAGAAGTAAAGGGCATTAGCTCTGCTTAGATGTAGGTAAATAAAATTAAACCCCTATTCCCAAGTTACACAGTATCAGTGTCACAAGCTTGCAGTTCTGTTGCTGCACATTCTTTACTTGGGTACAGTTTATAACTAAACTATATAGATATATATATATTCAAATGGAAGTGTTTAAACACATATATTTTTTATTTTGAAAGCCAAGGCTTAACACCCACAACGAGAAAACTATGGTTGGTGGTGGAAGAATTTTTATTTTTCCAACCCCACTTGGCTAAAGGACTTAACTCACTTTAACAGGGAATCAATGAGGGTTGAAGACATTTCCTAATCTTTCAGTATTATTTAATAGAGCACAATTCAGCAAAAGAATTCTCCATTCAGTGTTGACTGAATCAACTGGGAAGCAGCACTGGCTGAACTTAAAACCACACACTCAGAAAATGGCCTTGTAGAAAGAAATTGGGTAAAACACCCCATAAACCATGGTTGGTCCCGATGGTTGGACTTGATGATCTTAAGGGTCTTTTCCAACCTAAAAAATTCTATGATTCCATCTTGTCTCTTTCCATTTTTAAGTAAAGGAAAGTTTAATAAATCAACATGGACCAGGAAAACTCTCTCTCTGAGTAGAGGAAAAGTAAGAACTCTGATATGTTAGCTCACCATGCTGATGATTTTGCAAATAAGACATTGTCTAAATCAAGGAAATGTGAAAGAGAAAGGAGATGGAAAAAAATTAGGGAGAAAAGGCAGGAAAACAAAAGCCAGTTAGCTTGAAAATGTTTATTTTCAGAAATGCATAATTAGGAAAAAAAGAGTCATTGAAATAGAAAAGCAAATCAACATCTTAAAAAAAATTCCCTGTAACACTGGCTAAAATCAGATTTAGGAATTAAGTCAGAGCAAACATTACAAAAGGGATGCTCCATACTATGACAAATAAGGTCCACTGAGGTTAAATGAGTCTTTCCATCGGTGTCAACAAATGCCAGGTTTGGTTCACATTAAAGCACAAACTTGGTGCCATGTTACGTAAAGATCTGTCCCTTCCTCTGCCATTGGCCAGAGATATTGGAAAGTATTAACATTATTGAAAAAATTCCTGTGGAATAAATGGAGGGATGGTACAAGTTTTTGCCCTTTATGCAGGAATGATGCAGACAGGGCAGCTCTCAGGGAGAACTGAAGGGACAATAACTTTGTCAAGTGCTCTCCATCACAAAAGTAACTGCCAATTTAAAAGTCTGTAATTTCCAATTATTCATAAACCTCTCCCTAAGCTACGTTTACTCACTTCTCCTTTTTCATATATTTTAATATGTTTTTTATTACTGACTAGATGATGGGCTTGTTGCTGCTGCATCACCATTCCCGGGGGAAAATCCAGGGCATCTGGCTGGAACAGCAGGACCCTGGCTGGGAAGGGAGGGGTCACGGGGAGGGCCCTGCCAGTCCAGCCTGTCACAAACACCACTGCTCTCCCCAGGTCACTCTCCTGACAGATGAGGACGTGCAAAACCAGACCCTCTGTGAGGAAAATGCAGCCTTGCTCATTCTGCTTTAGGGATGAACAAGGAGGAAAGAAGCTCAATGGAAATGCTTTGACCACTCCTGACTTGGGCAGCTCAGCACTGAGGCAGAAGTGTTGGAGCCCACTGACAGCCAGCTGGGCAAAATCACTTTGATTCAGGGCCCGAGAAAGTATTGAATGTTTTTCCGAACTAAAATAATCTTTAAAATTAAAAGCACATAGAGTACTAAACTCACAGTTGGACAGCAGCTTATGCACAACAGCAAACCTGAGGTACAAATGTCCATGGAATCTG